ACTCTTTCCAGCACACCAAAATAAACCGTGAATGCAAGAGGGCTCTGCTCCTACGAACTTGCAGTTTAAATAAGTCACAGTGAAGCATTAATGAAAAATCACACTTGTGGTTCTACAATCTTTACAGTCCCAATCAGTCTCTTTCTGAATCTGCTGACCACACGGAATCAGTCCGGATCAGACCCGAGCTCGCAGCCGCAGCTCTGAGGAACCAGTCAGAGCCCACAGTACGGGATGGTGCATTTTGGTTTTATGCCAGCTTCTTGTCAGCAACAGGAAGACTGACTGAGCTGACGTAACTAACAGTGACATAACTGGAGTAACATAAATCTGGCCTGTCAGACTCTGCCCCCTCGATTTTTTTTGAGAACTTTTTATTTCGGTAGAATGGGTGTATATTGATTCACCGCTCGGGGTTATCAATCACAGAATCAATGGCAAGGACCACAGGTTTTTTTCTCTCTCTACTAAGGGCCTTAAAATTTTACTGGCTCTCACACAAAACTCTGGCCCAAACCATTATCCTGTAACAATGTATGTTTTTAATGATAAGTCTTTGGATAGATCCAGTGACTTCTCTGACACTAGTAAAAAGAAGTTGAAGCATACGCATAAGTCTTCAAAAGGAGATTGGAAAAGGCTGTGAGAGCACCCACACTGAGAGTCAGCATCTGGATTCACCAGGGCAACCTAACCTCTCCTTTTCCAAAAAGGACCTTGCAGCTGGCACTTGCATATAATAGATTCTACTGGTGCTCAGGCTCTGGCGCATTATTAGAATATATCGCAATATATTAGAATATAGCACTCGAGGTCAGTCCTGGCACTCAGAAGTACCCTCGTCAGTGAAAAATTTCCAAGGACTAAAACCCTGAATAAAATCATCTCTCAATTTTACTATGGTTATGAGAATGTCAACCCCAGAAGCCAAATACATGTGAACAGGCTGTTGCACGTACTGCTTCCCTAGATCTTTATAAATAACCCAAAGCCCCACTTTCACTTCCAGAGGTTTTCCAGAGCTCCACTCCTTCCTGCTCTGCCAATCTCCAATTGGAAGCTATTGATAACTGTTTCTTCTCATTCTCTTACTCACAGCAAAACCTAAAAACTGAACTGTTATCTGCTTCCAAATTATCCTCTTCCCAGACAGCCCCATAAGGTCCTGGATGTTTAACAAGGGCTTGCTGCGCTTTTGCCTTATGTCAGAGGACATGCCAGTCTTCCAAAAGTGGCTGGAGAAAGTGGAAGCGTGGGGTCAACACAATAGCAACAGGCAGCATCAGTATGAATTCTCCGCATGGTACATTATCCTTCACCACACCTGAGGACCTCAGCAGCAGGCTGGGCTCCGTCCCATCCTGGCTGCCACTGCATGGTCTCTGCTGCAAGCCAGAACAAGGGAAAAGGGGAAAAAGAGGGAATGCAGGAGGGCTTCACCTCGCTTCTCAGGAACGAGAGAGCTCCAGTGGTTACTGTGCATAGGAAACATTCTCCACCCTGTGGTGAGGAACAAAAGATTTGAGATTTATAGATTAATAATATTTTAGGGGCAATAACCCTTTGGAAAGTGATTAGTCTGAAAAACATCATCTTTTTCATATATCATTCGTCTGACATATTTTTCAACATACTAGCTGTGACCATTCCAAATCATAAAGGACTAACCTGTATAAAATCATTTAAAGACACACTGCTGAATTTTTCATTGGGAGAGAGTTTAATAAACTCCAGATTCATTTAAAATTCTCTGGCTTCCTTGCTGAATAAACTACCAAAGCCCATGCAAGCCCCCTTTAATTACTTTTTTTTTCCATGGGATCTCATGAGTTTGTACTTTCTAAGGGATGTTTTACAGAAGCCAGTTATTATACTGGCTTACAAGATTTAACTGTTAAACTTCTCTTTTATTTATTAATTTGCATTTACTTTTTGGTCTCCCCCCACTTCAGAATTGCTTGCAATGACTATTTTTAAGGAGGTCTTAAGCTCATTTGTCGTATGGTATTCTGCCAGACCGAGGTGAAAAAATGTCCAAATTCTTACATCCTGCAATAGTGAGGTCTCACCGTGATCTCAGACACTTCCCATTTTATAATTGCCAGCATAATCCTCAGGTGTGGTAGCTTGTCAGGTACAAGGAATTATGACACTTTGCACCAGCTCAGCATACATCCGCACTATTTTCTTACTGGATATTTAAAAGAGCTCACCTTGCCTAATACGAATATTTCTCAGAGGCTTTCAAATAAAAGATATAAGTATAATCTGATTTGAGGTTATTAATAGATACCTTCTCTATGACAGTGATCTGCTGATCAGATTTGGTCTCAGAATTGGTTTCAGAATTTGGTCTCAGAAGTTGCAGGCAGGCAGGCAATGCATTTGTGAAAGCACCGAGTCAAAAATCAGAGGACTGAAGAAGAACCCCAGAAGAAACACTGTGAACTACTTGCCTATTAGTGAACTATTTCACTTTAATGGTATGGGCCCACTTGAAAAAATAAATGCATGTATTTTTAGTTGCAAAGGCTTGTAAAATAGAAGTATCACAGCTATTTTTTTCATGAAATTATTTGACTCTGTTGACACAAAGCATGTACATTTCTGAACAAAAAGTTATAAAATATTCTGACATATTTTAATATAAACAGGAACATTTTCAGTGATTGCTTGGATCTCAAATGTTTTTCCACTTGACGTTTGTTTATACTTCCTAGGAAAGAAACTCTATTTATGGATAACTGAATAACACAAATAAACATCAGAGAGAGCTGAAAAATCAGCTTTGATTATGCATGAAAATCTACAATGTCATTGTGTACTCTTGTGCCGTATTCTGATTGCCTGTTTATTTTTACAGAGCTGCTGGCGAGCCCATGGAAGAAGAGCCAGCCTTGTGAAGTGCCAAGTCCTCCCTGATATTTCCTGTGGGTGACATCATTGTGTATCCCCCCCAAAGCACCCTCAGACATGTCTTGTCTGCTGCTTGGGTGGCACAGATCAGATGGAACATAAACACTGGGCACAAAACTCTGAATAGCAGCTTCACTTGTTCTTTGGATGGACTTGAAAGGGCCCTAAAGATTCCTTAAATGTAACCGCTACAATTCTAGAGTTACAGTAAAACGGGCTTGGGAGAAAGAGCCTAGAGCATGCTTTTCATATGCTGTTTGACCCGCTCACCAACATAAATTGTGAAATAGAGTATTACAAAATTCTACATGATAGATTATAGATACAAGAATTGCAACAGCCAGCAAAATACTCGGTAAACTCCATGAATCACTTTCTGACAGTTTTTACTGGGTAATTTTTTTTCATACTGTGTCAAATTGTTAATAGAATTTGTTTTCTTTGCTCTGTGTAATGGGAAAAAAAACACCAACTTCATTTTATGTGCCATTTTTTAACCCCCTGCAATGAGTTCTTAGCTGAATAAGTGAAAGGTGTGTAAATTGCGCTGAGGGATTTTAGCTAAAGGGAACGCACTTCTTACCATCCTATAAATCCCCCGAAGGACTGTGCTTCGTGGTGCTTTATTTTCTTTTCCCTTTTCTCAGCCATCCCTCCCCATTTCATGTAATCTTTCCTATCATAAAAACGCATTCACCATTCTCTGAAATGAGCGATCTTCTGCCTTTAAAAAAGAAGTGCTGTACTCTGTAGTTGACAGTAGCTCTCACCAGATGTACAGCAGAGATCTCTGAAAAATGGATGGCTTTCCAAATGTGCTTTTCGTTTGTTCTGAAATGTTTCTGTGTCCTGACTCTAAGAGCAGTGGTCTTCAGTAACTGCGTGCAGCTCATTTGAAGCTCAGGTGTTCCTGTGGAGGTTGCGTTGGGGGTGTTTTTTACAGGTCATCATGTGAATATGAACTGATTCTTTTATGTAGTCCTGCAAGCAAGAGAACTGACGTTGCTTACGAAGCTTCAAAGGGTTTAGGCTTTATTTTAGGTCCCCAAAGTGCAGCAAGATCTCCCTGCAACGTGACTTTAGCTGTTTAATTCCATGTTTGAGAACGTAACATAGAGTTGTGCCTTTAGCTGATAATGAACGCTTAAACTGTTACACGTGTTGCCTTACCGTCAGCGAAAGAGATAGGGCATGTATGTAAGACTACTTCAAATGAACAAAACTCTGCTTCAGCAACTTTTATTTTGTTTACAACTTTCTCACCTAATGAACCCTGGGAGATACCTTGAAGTATTCCACTTGCAGTATTTGATAGCTCGCTCAGCTTTTAAAAGCAAATGATGTTCATTTTTATATATTTTCCAAACTCAGAAAATATATTAAAGCCATAAGTGAAGACTGTCATGCTTTTTATTCTGAAATCTGAAAGGAACCTTAATTAAAACAAGATTTTGTGGAAGGCCATGATATGAAAGATATGGAACAATATGGTTTCAGTTATAGGCAGACTCAAACCTGTAAATCAAAGATGAAAGATTTCACTCAAATAGAATTATATAATTCGCTTTTGTTATGCAGTCAGACTATATCTTTCATGCATTTGGGTTTGTTTACAATTAGCATTTTAATTTTAAAGACTTTTATTACTTATACAAAAGCTCTCTGCTACAAGTTAGAAATCTGAGGCATGCTTTGAAAAGGGAAATCTAAAAAAGGAACGTCATTTCCTATAATGTGAAGTAAACTTTTATTCTGAAAGGCTTACTCTAAAATGTATGTATGCCCTTCAGAAAGTGAAATAAAATTCTACCCCCCATTTACAAGCCAAAATCATGCTCGTTTTAGTAATGCAAAGAGTCCCATCAGGCTAAATTAACTCCTGGTGTAAGCCACCTTGCCTGACTTTGGGCTGTGCTGAAGGGGTTGTTCACATGACTAAAGCAATCAGGCGTTCATCCTGTATTTTCAGCAGACTTTTGATGGCAATCTTGCTTGCCATTTACTGTAATTTTTTTGTGGTCATCAAAGAAGTTTCCCTTCAAGGAAACCAAGGACCATAGCTGATGAGTTGGGTAATTTGTAGAGCTTTTCACATTTTGAAATAATGGCTGCAAAATTTTAATTGAGTGCATAGTTAGATCATTTTAAAATTAACCCCACAAATGCAAAATCTGCTTGCGTCCTTAGCCTGCATGAAATTGAATATGAATTGCAGCCTGAAATGTAAGTTGCAAACTTTACCAATTAAAGCCTATATTCTGGGGTGGAAATGAGCTAAAGCTGTCCTTTGTAGCTGGAAATGCTTTTAAAATGCCAGAATCATTTGCATCAAACCACATTATAAACTCACACTTATGCATTTGTACAGGCGTGCTCCCAGACAGACATCTAGACATGCTATTGGTTAAAGTTAGGATCATTTGGATAAGCAAATGTGCAAATAAACTGCACACAGATTGCATCCAGAACTCTGTTCTCACTGAAGTCAATGGCAAAATCCTCTTTGATTTCAATGGGAGATGGATCAGACCCTGGTTGGTTTTTTTTTTCCTTTAAGTCCAGAACACCATTACTTTTTGATTATGTCGTTACAAGGCACCGTGCAACCCTCTGGGAAATGATCGAGGCTTATGGTGAATATCAACACTTCCTTCAAAGCAGACCTGGGCTTTCTGAGAGGGCAGTTTCACTTGCTGCTGTTTTCTTCTCACAGTATTTTTTATTACCATCAATAGCTCCCCATGGATTACAGTTAAAATATCTCCCAGCAATTTTAGACATACTTGCGAGGAAATATTCACATAGACACTCTTAAAAATGCCCAATTTTAGCTGGATTCAACAACAAATTCCAAGAATTTCAGAAAGATGTACGAGTTGCATGTTTCTCTGCTTCTAATGTACAAATTCAGAGGTTTAGGAGCTGTTTTTGAAGAGACGTCACAGTCTCATGTCTCACATAGACTTCAGCTTAGGCTAGGGAGATTGACACCTCCAAAAATTCAGTCTCAGATATTTCAAGCTGGCTGCCAAAATATCTACATCTGAGCTTAGATTAGTTCTAAACAAGGTGGGGGGGTAAATGGTGGTTTCTGTGAGTGATTCCATGGAGAAGGTGAAGCTGAGGAGGTGGCAGAGAGCCCTCGGAGCCAAGGTGACCACCTCTGCCTGGTGTTGGTGGCACAGGGGCCGCCCACGGCACCGCCACCCCTGGCTGCCATTGCCCTTAGCAGCAAATCCTTGCCTGGCAGGAGAAGCCTGCGGTAGTTTTTACTCTGCCTCTGGATCAAGGTGTCTCTAAGCCACCAACCTCCAGAATGAGGGATGTCTCAGAAGCAAGCACCACTAACATGCTTGCTCCAGTTCATATTCTTCCCTAGTGTTAGGGACTAAGCATTAAGCTCAGTGGGGCTTTTCTTGTGTTCTTGTATTTTTCTTGTGTTCTTAGGTTATTAAATACTTTTCTTGTATCCTTAGGTCCTTAAATTCATAGTAGAAACCAAAAACTAAAAAGTGATATGACTCAGGATGTCAAGAAACAAAATTATTTCTATCCAGCTGAATGTTTTTACCTGTCCTGGAGTGGGAACAACGATGAACAGTAAATCTCTGAACTGCTAAAACCTGAACTGCTAAAACCTGAGCGTCTTGCACTTCATTTTCAGACTGTGTGTGCAGGAATTCTGTATGTGCTCATTTGGCTTCAATATAATCTGCAGCAATGAAGTGCTTGATTATATGATCCTTTTTCAGGCAAAATTCCTAGCAAGTAATCAAAGTTCATGGGAATTTTGCCAGTGTAAAGATGACAGAATTAGTCTCTTTTTTCATTATGTACCTTCCTAGTTTTACCTTCAGTGAAAATGAAGTAACTAATTCCAGGCAAGTGAATCTGAGGAACATAAAATCATTAGGCTATCTTAAATAAACATCCTAAAATAAAAAGAAAATATAAACAGCTGTTACGCAAACAAAGATGGCTGTTTCTTTACTTTGCAAAAAAGTCAACAACATGCTGCCAGCTGAATGAAAGTGGCAAAATGAATCCCTCTCTAGAGTATGTGGTATTTGAGTTGGTGTCTTATCTAAGTGCAGCCTCTCTAAAAAGCTGAGAGTCATAACAGGAGATGAAATATTAGAAAGGTTTTGCTGCAGCCAACACCAGAGGTCCTGTAGAGAACAAGAATGTAGAGACTGACTAATTTGTGTAGACAGACAGCAGGACACTTTCGGGGCAATGTGTCTGGGACAAAGAATTAGAGGGAACTTTTCCAAAGGCACTGATGGTTGTGAGGCAGCTAACTTCTACTAGCTTGCAGGGGCAAGGAGGTGCCCAAGGAGCATTTATTCCTTGGGAAATGCCCCCTCCGTCCCACAAGCATGCCCATGTGCACGCAGACGTGAACCTCGCTGTGCAGTATTTTTGTCCTAAGCAGCAGGACCAGGTGCGCTGCCCTGACGTGCACGCTGTGCATTCGCCCGAGAAGCTATCAGCCCCTAGCAGACATTTCATAACACGACTGATAGGGCAGATTTTTGTAACATTGGGGGTTTGGGTTTTTTTTTTTTTTTCTCAATAGTGGCCTTTCCAGAAGTGTAGCAGTGCACGGTTGTTTTATTTTAAAAGGTCACAATAGGGCTTTGTGAACCATTGTACTTTTTTTTTTTTACAGACTCCATATGGAAGTAAAACAGAATATGTACATGGCGGGGGAACCTGCTGGGAAAGAATTTCTCTTAAATCAAGTTTCTGCTACCTGCTTTTCATCCTGGATTTGGAGGAGTTTGGATTCTTAATTATCCTTTAAGCTTTTACTTTGTCACATCACTCGCTTTGGTTTTTTACCTATAACTGAATTCGCCCTTGTAACAAATAGAAAACCACCCATAAAAAGTCTGTCTTTTCTGACAGATGCCCCTGCCCTTGGTGTGGGAATGAGAATAGCTTATCTTTGTCACTTCTAGCAGCAATTAAATGTTTCATTTTT